GGGAGGGATGCCTGGGCCCGCCAGTTTTTCCTGTCCTCATCTCTCCACAAACAGGTCCCCGCCACAAACAATAGTCAGCATGGCATCCCAGTTCTCATCTCTCCAGATCGGTGATTCCGGTTCCATAGCGCGCGTGAAAGCTCGATCCATGGTGTCGAACAACGTCGTGGGGACACGTCACGGTGTTCATCTGCCACTTCTCCGCAATGGCAGATATGGCTTCCTGTACACGACAAGCAAGGAAAGGACGGAACACTCTCCGTGTCAACGGCACCACGTGCTGCGAGCAGGCCACCCATGACAAACGAAAAACAAAGAAAGACAGAAAACACGGTTTGCCCCCATCCCCCCATTTCCCCCCCACCCTCTCCAGTGTGGTTCCTGTCCCAACCTATGCCGCCTCCCATGGCCTCCACGAAAGAAAAAAAAGCCATTGGTGGCACGAGCACCGCCACCTGTGAACACTGTACCCGCAATGGCGCACCAGTCGGGCATTGTCTTTCGCCACCCACGAGCGGACATCCGAAACAGGCGCGCTGCCCTTCGAACGAACATCCGCGACCGCGTACTGGTCCCTCTTGAATTTCCAGTCTTTCCGAGCTCGGAAAAACTGGGTTTTCCAGCCTCCACGGTGGGGTCACGTCATTCTGCAGGCGAACCCTTCCAACGACCCTTCCACAGAATTCCAAAAATCAGTACCTTTCCAGCTCTTTTCCTTAGGCCTGGACCCCACAGGGAAAAACAGTGGAAAAACCAGCGTGGAAAAGCTTATCTCGGCCCTCCAGAAAGCCCATTTCAGGACGGCGGTGAGGTTTTCCGGGACCCCACAGCCTGGAAAACGGTATCTGGAAAAGCCACATTTTTCATTTTCACATCGGGTTCCAGTCGGAAAAGTGGCTGTGGAGGAGTTTCCGCCGTATTTTTGTGCCCTTTCCAGAGTTTGGGGGGGGGGGGCATGTCCATGGTTGGAAACTCCTCGCCAACCCATCGGCCCATCCATTGTCCGCCGAAGCCGTTCCCTGGTCCACTGGACAGGGCTACGGACATGCTGTTGTCGCCCCATAGGGGAGGCCAACCGAAACAGGCGCAAGGCCGGACATCAGCAACCACCATCCGCTCCATCTCCAGTTTGCAGCCTTCCCAAGCTCGTGGAAACTGGCTTTTCCAGCCACTCCGGTGGGGTGCTGTCATTCCGCAGGCAAACTCTTCCAAACACTCTTCCACGGAAACCCGGAACTTGTCACTTTTCCCAAACTTTTCCGGTGGGGTCCAGGCCTTAGAGTCGGCCTCTTTGCTCCACTCCGGGAACAGTTACTGCTGAAGTTGCCTAATATGCTGAACTTGGGCGCGACTCCAAGGTACTTGCCCCCCCCAAAAAAGCACTGCTAGCCCTGGCAACTACGGAGATAATGTTTTGATGGAAGGAAGCATCGGTGGAATGGGGAAAGGTCCTATAACCTTAGAGGTAGCGGTGGTGGTCTCAAACCACCAGTACATCCGAGCATCATTTTCGGGATGCCGATTTGTGCCGTATGGCATAGGAAAACCGAACCAGCACGGACGCGAAATCGCATCTCTTTTTACGTGGCATTGCCAGCCATTTTCATTCTACCGGCCAGGCCCTCAATCATTTGTCTTAACGACCTCTGTGTCCGTGTATCGCATAAATCGTTTTCTTCTTCATAATCGGAGCCCCCACGGATGTGGCGCATTGACATCGGGACAAAATAGCTGGCAGACGAGCTGGTGGTTTGGCGGGCCACTATAATTCCTGGTGTTGCATCTGTGGGCCTCGCTCCACTACTCTCTTTTTTTTTTTTTTTTTTTTTTTTTTTTGCAAATGTGCAAAACGAGACTGTCACCTTCTGCTAGAACATGGAAAGATACACCGCCATGATTTTTGTCTTTAAATTTGTGCGTATCTCTCTGAATGGCCCATCATTCTCTTGTTAGGGTGGTTACGAAGCATGGGGAACAGAGGTGGAGAGGAATGAGTCCCCAGGGATGGTGGCCGATGGAGCAACCACATGGCCGACTACCGAAGGTGACTGTCATATGTATAGTATCCAACCTCTTTTTTTTTTTTTTCCCGAAAACAACTCGAGTGAATGCTAGAGGTGCTGATAAGAGCAGACACCACTAGCATGCTCGGGGAGGCTCCATCTATTGGTGGGGAGCAACACCTGCTGGAAAGCGGGTCCAGCGTCCCCTAACATGTAAAAATGATTGTTATGAAAACATTTCAAACTGGTGTAGGCATGCCATGTGTGCTTCCCACTGAAGGAGAGTGATCATCTGAATGGTCATCCAAAGCGACACACAAGCACACCAAGTAACTGATGAGGAGCATTGAGTGCCCTCACCTGAAGGGATTAACCGCCCATCGTAATCCAAAGTCATATCCCTACTCTGAGTTCCTCATCATCTGCCACATAAATCCTTACCTGCCATGGTCTTTTTTTAACAAAAGACTCAGCTCATTTGATTACTCACACCAAAGGAAGAGGCTGGGAATCATCAACAAACAACCCCGGGGGGGAAAAGAAAGAAAAAGAAAATTGTTACTGGGACCCCTACCCAGCTTAGAAGCAGGAGACGTTTTTTTTTTTTTTTTTTTTTTTTTTAAAGAAAAGCTCCATCTATTGGTGGGGAGCAGCACCTGCTGGAAACCGGGTCCAGCGTCCCATAGATACAACTTTTCCTCACAGGTTGGCACAAAACTGGGAACCGGGCCCAGCGTCCCATCACGAATACATTCGGAAAATTCCATCAGAACTTGCATGAGAAAGAAGAAGCAGGAGACGGGTTGACAAATCCAGAGACAGAAATGGCCAAAACTAGACCAGTATCTTTTTTTTAACTACGCTATATTCTTCTCTCAAAACTTTCATCATCTTGCAAATTCTTTCAATTCACCTTGACTACCAACCTTCCACCCTGCGAACATAGCTTTGTTATCTCCATCCAGCCATCAGAGGGGATGCATGTTGCCCCCCGCCCCAACCATGGTGGTCAAGGATGGGGTGGGGCCGCTGGTGGGGTTCCGGCTAGCGCAAAGACCAAGCATTTTGCCAGTAGCTGCGCCTCCCTTTTCATCGTCCCCCAACCCCAACCAAATAACAGCAGTGTCTAAGGCCAACACTCTCCCACGCACCACACACAACCCAGTCACACTCACACTCACACTCACACGCACACCTGTGTTGGCCAAGTACCCTGTTAACACCGATCAGAGGTATCAAACGGACTATCACTGCTGGTTGGCACTAAGTGCGCCGCAGATGTTTGTGCGGGTTGTGTTGGCCAAGTACCCTGTTAATACCGATCAGAGGTATGAAGCGGACTATGGGTCAGACCCCACTGCGGTGCGGATGGAAAAGACGTGTGGCCACGAAAAGCGGGCAAGTCCTTTTGGAAAGTCGGAAAGTACTTTTTCCGGGACCCCATTGCAGAGGACCAAATGCGCTTGGAAAACCCTCTGGAAATCAGTTGAGCCAATTATTGCCTGTTTCCGTTGGCACTCATTTGTTTTGTTTTTTTCTCCCTTTTTTTTTTTTTTTTTTTTTTTGTGACACTCTTCATCGCTATTGGCTGCTGCCTCCCATCCACGGGACCTGGTTTTGGAAAAGTTCAAGACGACTCTGGGGGCCAACCTCAGCTTTCGGCACAAATTTGCGGCGTCATTTCCTCCGCTCGCCTTTTTCCAGACCGCGGACCATGTGAAAGCGTCCACAGGCGATCTTCCAGGCCACGAAATGCGGGCTGTGGGGTCCCGGAATACGGTTTTTGGAAGACATTTCGGTCTTTCCATAAACTTTTCCGCGAGGTGTGGGGTCCTGCAAACGCTTTGGCGGCAAAGTTTTTCCTTTCCGCATTCCTATGGGGTCCGGGCCTATCACTCACTGCCTAGCAATAGGTCAGCAGTTATCCATGTTTTTCCTGAATTTTCCTGAACTCCTTTAATAGTTCTCAGATTGTTCTTAGCCGAAGCCAGGTAATGGCCCTGGTATTTCAAATGACTTGTATAATTCTGTAAGGGACGCTGGGCCCGATTCCCAGCATGTGTGCTCGCCACGAATAGACTGGAGCATTTGTCCAAAAAAAAATAAAAATAAAAAAATGCGGACTATCACTGCTGGTTGGCACTAAGTGCACCGCAGACGTTTGTGCGGCTCGAACCCACCACATCTTGAATGCCACTTGTGTGCCTAACCAACTGAGCTAGGCTTCTGGATCAGACCAGCATCCAACCTCTACAACAACCTGGGCTTCATGAAAAAAGACAGAAAGAAAGAAAGAAAGAAAGAAAAAAAGCCATAGCTGGCAACCTCAGAGATAACTGAGGGTTGGACCCCACTGGACCGCGGACAGGAAAAACCTTGCCGCAAAACTGTTTCCAGGACCCCACAGCCTGCCGCAAATGTCCTGGAAAAAGGTGAAATTTCTTCTGCAAACCCTTTTCCAGGATCCCACCGACCGAAGATTGCAGCTTGGAAAAACATCGTTTTGCGTTTTCACGGAGTCCATGGCCTGGAAAAGTCTCACGGGAGGATTCCTCGCCGCAATTTTGCTGACTCCAGAGGGTAGGGGGGAGGGCATGTCGTTCCTGGAAAAGCCTCACGGGAGGCAGCAGCCAATAGCGATGAAGAGTGCCACCAAAAAAAAAAAAAAAAAGGGAAAAAAGAACAAAACAAACAAGTGCCAACGGAAACAGGCAACGATTGGCTCAACTGATTTCCAAAGGGTTTTCCAAGCGCATTTGGTCCTCTGTGATGGAGTCCCGGAAAAAGTACTTTTCGACTTTCCAAAATGACTTGCCCACTTTTCGTGGCCACACGTCTTTTCCATCTGCACCGCAGTGGGGCCCTACCCTGAGGCGCTCTTACTGACCCTGATGTTTAAAATAAAGGAAAATAAAAAAATAAAGGGTTTTTTTTTTCCTTTTTTTTTTTTTTTTTTTTTTTTTGGACAAAGCTCCATCTATTGGTGGGGAGCAACACCTGCTGCATACCAAGTACCTTCAGGAAACTCACCAAGAAATTTCATGGAAATAAGACCAGCAAAAACCCTCGAAAATTCTACTGCTGATGATACTAATGATACCAGTGATGATAACCTGCTGAGTCCTAATCCTGAGCAACTCCAAGCCTTCCCTTACCAGGATATTGCAACTCTGGACCAGGACAAACCTATCCCCCCACTGCCATAGCTGATCTCTTCTCACTACCCAGGCTAACCCCACCCCATGAGTTGTCAAGGTAGCCCCCCTAGTTCACCACATCGGCAATCCGTGAGCACAGAACAAAACAACTTCAGCAGTCGTCAGGCTAGGTTCGACAATCCCTGAATTCCTGTATCCTAAATAAAGAAGAAGACCAGGTGCTGCCAAGATTGTAAAGCCACGGATGGCATCGAATTTATTAGATCGTGAAGAAGATACGATTCCATTGGTGACAGCTCAAACCAATCCACACCCACTATACCCTGTCTCATGCTGCCTCCACCGAGGAAAATCCCTCGGCCCCAACATAGAACAGATCCCCTCCCCTCCCTCCACCTCATCCGCAAAGGCAACCAATCCCCTCCTAGAGGCTGCCTTTGCCCACCCCTTGTCCCTGTCTGCCCCCACGGGGGTTGAAGGCGACCAACTCTCCAACCCCGGCCCCAGACTCAGACAATCCCCAATCTGCCCTATTCCCAATAGGGCTATTGCCTCCCACCATGCAACACCCTTGTAGAATAAGGCTCCCCTGTAACAGACCCCAGGGTTACTTTTTCGGGGACAGCGAACTAGTAGTCTCTACCCACAACTGGCCAGCCCTGTCTCTCCTTGCCCTAGCTTCCCCAAGGCCAGGCGGAGCCCAGGCTGACAGTCCTACCACCCTTCCCCTGGCTTGTCCCCTAACTTAGGCCAGGCGGGTCTCAGACCTGCTGTGGGTAACTACCTTATATCTGTACCCTGGGGTCTCAAAATCCCCCCTGCCTACCAAAGTTCCAGCCATAACCCCCGAAATCCTATCCCCCCTAAAACGTCTGCAAAATTCAATGTTCGAAATCCCCACTCAGGAACAAGAAACTCGTGAAAAAACAAAATAAAGAGAATTGGCCTCACCCCGATCGGGGGGACAGGCAGAGCAAAAACTACTAGTGAAATTACTGAGCAATCCCAAACTGAAAACATTTGTTTGATGTTACTACTGCGAATAGCAGTGATCAAGAGGTATGTAATCAAGAAGGAGGTAATCGAGATATAGGTGATGAAGATGTGGGTGATCTAGATATAGGTAATCAAGAGAGAGCTCATCAGGATGTAATTATTAATGGCTATTAGATAATTGGGTAACCAAAAACGGTACCCTGAGTCCGAAAAGTTTTCACATGATATCAGTATTGATGATGGTAGTGATGATGATGGAAGTATTATCGAGAAGTAAGTAATCGAGATCTAGGTAATCAAGATATAGGTGATCTAGATATGAGTAACCAAGATGTAGCTAATCGGGATGTACGTGAAGCCGAAAACGGCACCCTGAGACTAAACGATTTTCAGATGATTGATGATGATAATGATGATGATGGTGATGGTGATGGTGATGATACTGATTTTGAGGATGATGATGATGATGATGATGATGATGATGATAGTGATGATGATGATGATGATGATGATGAGGAGGAGGATGAGGATGAGGATGGTGATGACGACGATGACGCCCAGCGCCCTGCGATCACGAAAGGATGATGGTGATGATAGCTCACCTCCTGTTGATGACGTTGGTGCTGCTGCTGGTGATGATGATGACGAGCAGCACCCTACTGATGATAATCCCGACAACCCTTAATGATGATGCGCCCAGTGCTCTGGTGATGATGATGATGACGATGATGATGATGGTGATGATACTGATTTTGCTGCTGCTGCTGCTGATGATGATGATGATGATGATGGTGATGATGATGATGAGGGTGATGATAATGATGATGGAGATAACAACGACGACGCACAGCGCCCTGCGATCACGAAAGGATGATGGTGATGATAGACCCCCTCCTGTTGATGACGTTGGTGCTGCTGCTGGTAAGGATGATGATGAGCAGCATCCTACTGATGATGATCCCGACAAACCTTGATGATGATGCGGCGGGATGATAATGATGATGGCGGTGACAAACCGCTCCCTGACAGTGATGATAACGATGATGATGATGATGATGATGATGATGATGATGAATGATAGTGACGACGAATCACCCCCTTGAAGCTGTTGATAACGAAACTCGGCTTGATGACGAACAGCGCCCCTTGCCCTGATGGTGATGACGCCCATCACCCTGACGACCATGTACACGATGACGTTAGTGCTGCTGCTGGCGATGATACCAACCAACCGTGATGCTGATGATGACGAACATCAGCTCGATGACGAACAGCGCCCAGCGCTCTGATGATGATGGCGCACAGCGCCCTGATGAAGGTGATGATGAGCCGCACCCTGCTGATGATGCTGATGATGATGATAATGATGATGATGATGAAGATGATGATGATACGGCGACGTAATGATCACGAAAAGATGATGATGGCGATAAACGAGGACACCGGCGATGACGGGCAGTCACTTCACTCGCATTTCGGGTTGCCCAAGGCTCTCTCCGCTGCACTCCACAGGCATCACCAGAGGCGACACCTCACAGGCTCTATGCCACGGGCAGAAACGCAGCAGCAATGGAGTATGGACGCGGAACTCCCAGGAAGCCCCCAGGAGTCAGTCTAGTTCTCCCTATCAACTCGTGATACGGTGTAGACCAGCACCTTTGCTCCCTGCGCGTGCGCAAAACGCCTAATAGGTAGCCGCTGTAAGCTCGACACCCTGTCCAGCAACTCGCCTTAACCCCACCAGCGTCTCCATCACGCCATCGCCATGCCTTAGTTCGTTCGTATGGATACTTCAAAGCGAGAGCGATGCAAGCCGGGCACCCTCTGCCACCTCACTCCGCTGCCGCGGTTGATGCCGGGGCACAGCGCTCCCGGTAGCGCTGCGCCCCCGGCCCAATCCAAAGGATTAGTCGGGGCCCGAGTTTCAATTGCAGTTGAAACTCGGGATGCCTTTAGGTAGCAGTTCAGTCAGGGCTCTCGTCCATCCACGAACAGCAGATAAAAAAAAGAGAAAACTACAGCGCAGTCAGGGTTTGAGTTTGTAATTGCACTTGAGTCAAAAAGCCGGGTAATGCTGAATGTATATGACCTACGTTTCGGGTCCGGTGGGGTCGCGTGGGGGTGTGGTGTATTCGAGGGATTTCCTGAAGTGCAATCACAAACTGTTTTCGTGAAGTGCAATTACAAACTGTTTTCGTGACTGTGCCGAAGTTACCCCTAAAAAAAAACAAAACAACAAAAAGCATCCCTCCTGCTGTGATTGCGGTCTGATACAGGATGCTACAGTACTTGTCTGGAACTGAATGAAACGAGGCAGTTAGCTGCCTCGCGTGGAATCCACCCTGCCAGCTGGCAGGGCGCTAGAAGGACCTCACAACAAAAAGAAAACACGGTCCTCACATACTGGCCAGATACATTCCGCAAAGCACTGGTGTAAATTCCACCTACCTGGATTCATAGTTCCTCGTTTCTTTTCTTTTTTTTTTTTTCTCTCTCTCTTTCCTTTTTCTTCTTTGACCCCCATCCCTGCACTGTTGAAATACAGACCCAGATTCAAATTGTGTAGGGTGCCCCCGCCCCGCCACGCTACATCTAGGCCGTGGCCAATCTGGGGTGTGGCCGAGACATCTCGGCTGAGGCCAATCTGGGGTGTGGCCGAGACATCTCGGCCGTGGCCAATCCGGGTTGTGGCCGAGACATCTCGGCCGTGGCCCAACCATGGGGCTGTTTTTTTTTGTTTTTTTTTTTTCCAGCCGCGGCGTGGCGCGGTGCGGCGTGCGACCAAGAAAAAAAAAAAGAAAAAAGAAAAGAAAAGAAAAAAGTAGAAAAGAAAAGAAAAGAAAACCGGCCACGTGCCTGACTGAACTGCTAGAAAAGGTGAGCCCGAGTTTCAACTGCGATTGAAACTTGGGCCCTGTCTAAACTGCTAAAATGCAGTTCGAAATGCAATTGCAAACTGCAACCCTGACTGCGCCGTAGTTTTCTCAAAAATAAAAGAGATAATGGCTCTGAGGAAGTAAGGCCAGCTGGTGAATGATAAGGGCCCACTCACACTAACAATATTTTGAATGTATCTGACCCCATTTACGGCCACAACTGGATGTATCTGGCCACAATGGCATCCAGAAAGAAGTAAAAAAGTCCTGGTGTGAGTATGCCTCAGGGCTGTTTGTGTGGTGGTTTCAAGGAAGAGAATGGTCTAGAAGGTCAGGTGCTGGCACGCCTGTCATATGGCTAGTCGCCAGCCTCTACAACAACCTGGAGCGTGGTCCCACTAGCCACAAGTATGGGATTGAATGCCTGAATCTGGACGTGTTTCTGCACAGGTGCAGGAAATAGAGATTGAACTGCTTTTCTGCATCTCCACGTGAAACACATCCAGATTCAGGCACTCAATCCTATCCTCTTTGCTAGTGGGACCTTGGCCCTGGACGTTTTGAAGAAGAACAAGGACGTGGGATAGCCTTTTTTAACCTGTTGATAGCAGGAGGGTGAGACCTGGTAGAGAGATCTGGGGATGCCTTGGGGCGGGCATTCCAAGGGTAAACCAAGGGTTGCTGTCGGGACGACGCTGGCCGGAGCCGGGGTGAGTTGTGTTGCGCTGTAACCTAGCAGGGTGGGGGCATGAGGCCTGGGAGAGCTCGGCAGGGAATAAGACAGTGTTAGAGAATTTTAGAGGTTTTTGTTAGGGATTCCAGGGGTTCTGAGCATTCGAAGGACTTCTGTGGCTCTCCTTTTTTTACTTGGTAATTGCTGCTTGAGTAGCCTTAGGCTAGCAATTGGTCAGCAGTTATCCATGGTTTTCCAAAATTTTCCTGAGCTGCTTTAATAGTTCTCAAAACAAGGAGATGAATCATAGGATCTACAGCTATGGTGCTGATTGGTGGCTTGACTGGTATTTGCCTTAGTCCTGAGTCCCAGTGGTTTGCGAATAGACAAGGCCAGAACAACGCTGGTTGGTGTTGGGGCTTGGTTGCGCTACCCTGTAACTCAAGCTGTACGAGGGCATGAGCCCTGGTAGAGAGATCTGGGGAGTTGTCGAGGGTGGAGGGCACTCTAGTGTCTTTCGGTGAGCTGGTGCCTAGTCGATGCTGGCCAGAGCCGGGGCGGGTCACTTTGCCCTGTGGCCTAGCAGGTTGGGGGTTTCTGGGGTGGGTCGTGCCACCCCTTAACCTAGCAGTTGGGGGCCTGAGGCCTGGTAGAGATTGGGCATCAGGATATAGGGGTGAGGCAGGTGGTTTGTTGATTCTGAATGCTCCTTTGATCCGAGCTTTGGGGGATAGAGAATTTTATTGTTCTTGTGTAGACTACACAGTTGTCTTTAGCCGGGTACAGGATTTCTCCATAAATTTCTCAATTTCTCAATATGATCTTGAATGGGATGCTGGGCCCGGTTCCCAGCACGTGCTGCTCCCACAAATAGATTGGAGCATGTTTCCAATTAAAAAAAAAAAAAAAAAGGGATATCCTTTTTTTTCTGTAATTCTCTTTAATTCTGTGAAAACTTTTCTCCCTGGAGAATAGGCTGCTGGACTATCAATGGGGACGCTGGACCTGGGGTCTGGTCCCACCTACCGTTGCTGAGTTTAGAAAACTTAACGGTGTGATGCCATTTTGACATTAATAAATTCGAAACAAGAAATTAACAAACTGAAAAAAAAAATGCTAGAAACGGCTTTTCTCCAAAGGCTTATGTTTTATAACGTGACTCGGAGAAATGAAACATGTCTGGAACAGTCGGAGTGACTGTCTCCGTGAAAAAGGGATACTCCGCGTGGTGAGGGGACAGGAGGTCACCATTTGTAAAATGGACAGGGACAACATGGATGGCCAAATGCATTATTGCCCAAAGAAGGAAAGGAGTTTGATGCCAGACAGCCAAACACAGCTGTCAGAGTTCCTCCGTTCCAGGATGCAATGGTGTTATCTCGGATTGTTCGCCGGATGATCTTATACAGAGTTCCATGATTTACGGCTCCAGGGCCTTCGGCCTCCAGGATCCTTCAATATACCATTGCGCACCATGAAAGGTACCCATTATAACATTAAGGGCCGTGTGAGCACTACGTCCCGGTCTGAAGCCATGTGAATAATTGGAAAAGCGGGGTTCATAAATAGGTTCTAAGATCATTCTAAGAACAAACAAGGAAAGGCACTGCAGTTGAGAAATGTACCCTACCCTCAGGAGGGTAGTTTTCTCAATGGAAAATGGTTTCCCGCCCAAACCAAAAGGGTCAAATCATACTACAAACAGATTTCACGTCAAAGAAAAAATCTACAAAATGACAAAATCTAATAGGTTATTCTCCTATATTCCGGTACCATTAGATCACAATACATCAACGGCAGAGCTCCGTCCCACCATGCCACACGTGATAGAAAGCTCAGCGTTGAGAAAACTCAACGCTGCAGGTGGGACCAGACCCCTGGGGCTAAGTCCCACTGGTGGGAGTTTTTTTTTTTTTTTTTTTTTTTTCCCCCCCTGGCGGAGGCTGGCGGGAATTTAGCTCTTCCTTTCGAGTATTTTCAACCTGGCCACAGATCGGATGGTAGGAACCGGTGCACACTCGAGACCAAGTCTAAGCCCCCGTTAGTGGGACTCAAACCGCCAGTACAGGCCCCAGGCCCCAGCCTTGCCGAAAAAGAAACTCGTCACCTACGAAAATTTCGGAGGGTCGGCTGACCGGACCACAATGGCTGGCGGCACCAGCCAAAGACGAAAAAAAGTGCGCTGCTGGTGGATCGGAAAATCTTGGCGTGCAGTACGGCACGTGCAGCCCTGGCTGTACTGGTGGGGTCCAGCAGAAGCTTCTTTCCCCGAATACAAGGTACGGTCATAGTACCTGTTTTTGGGGCATCTTTCAGTCTAAATGCATGCAGCTATAATGGCCGAACACAACTTTGCGTTCAGGGGAAGAAGGTAGGTAGTGACCCAAGTTTGTTTTCCCAAGGTAAAATTGTGAGGTCTACAATGAAATGTGTGTTTCAATGTGTAAAAAAAAAAAAAAAAAAAAGGGAAAGAAAGAAAAATAAGAGGACATGTACAAACAAGCTCCATTCCAGGGGATTTTTTTTTCTAAAAGGGCAACACCCTGGAGATATCATCATTGAGCTGACCGGCCCCAGGAGCGAGATCCCACTAGCCATGTATGTGGGGGGAAAAAAAAGAAGAAAAAAAAAAGGATTAGTGTGACGGACGGGTGGGGGACAGGTGGGTGGCAGCGTGAAATAGGGAAAATAAACGCAAAAAAACATTTCATGACCAAACAAATGAAGAAAAAACTGCAAAAAAGGAAAAAAAAAGTGCTCTTCTCACAGATGGTGTCTGCTCCAGGCGGGGTGTCAGATGTCAGGGTATGATTCACTGACCATGGCTGTGGCAGTCAAGACGACTGCATGTGACTGGGCTCACGGACCATATTCATTGACAATAGTCTGAGGCTTCCTT